ATAAAAAAAATACACATGACTTTTTCCAGGGGTCCCCCGTAAAATCTTATTATTTAAGCTCAGCTATAGAAAATAAGTAAGTTTATTCAGGTATACACAAAATTTCATGATTTTCATACATAACAGGATATTGTCAGAACCTGTGTGTACGAAACCAGTTACAGAAACACGTCTATTTGGGATGGAAAATCTGACAAAGAGATAAAAAGAAAGGAAAATTACAAGTTTATTTACATACCGGAGACATCTTAAGTACCCCCTTTACACACATATCGGGGCTGTGGCATCACTCTCTTAATATTTATTTGGGCCCATAAGCGATCGTTTTCTTTTATAGCAAATAATAGTAAAAAACTAGTCTTATAGTTTAAGGGAAACTATGAAAAAAATGTACGTACGTAGCCCCCATTAAATGTTATTAGTATTGTATCCCATTTTACTACTTTTACTTTTACTTTTTGTACTCCAGCGCAGCTTCCAGATTTCCTGAAATTTAAAAACCTATTTTTTTTTTTTTAATTTGATCACCAAAGTTTGGTTGATAACCCAAAGTTAGTTAGGTTGTAAAAAAGTTAAATATTTTCAGGTTTAGGTAAAAATCTTTAATAAGCACACCATACCTATCCTGGGGGTGGTAGAAAAATTTTTTTAGGGGAATTAACGGGCCCCAGGGACTGGCCCCCCAAAGTTTTGAAAGCTAAACAAATTACATGGTAAGAATAATTTATATCATTTTATGTATTTATCTTATTTTACATGCTTATATCTGCCCAAAATCGTATTGATTTTTTATGCAGACATGAATTAGGTAAAAACACCAAGAAAAAGTGTGATGCGTTTTTCGGTGAGCATTATCACTTTTTTTTCGGTGTGTCAAAACAAAAGATTTTATTTATTGTAATACTACCCCGAGGGGTTACTAACCCAGGGTATTCCAGAAAGACCGCAGTGGAAATTTACACAGGTCCCCTTGCAGACACTGCAAAACTCCAGCGGCACCCAAAATTTTAGGGGCCCGCAGAAAAAAAATAGAAGTTTTAAAATGAGAAATTTCAATTACCAATTGGTAAAAGGGAAAATTTAAATCTTCATCAGAGTAAAAACAAATTCTGGCCAAAAAATAGAGCGAAACACCAACGTAAAAAGACCTGGGAGTGATCAGTCGGAGGATCCCTTAAGGGACCTAACATTTTTCCCCAATGCTCGCTAGAAAAATGACAGGATGGATAAGAGAACCTTCAAAACTGGGGAGGCCAACCCATGATGCCCCACTTCGGGTCATTTGTTCTATCTAGCTGGATTTGTGCACCAACAGCACCTTTAAAGCGGGTAAATTCCCGCCCTAGAAAATTACGAAAACTTTCACGGCGCGCAAAACGGGAAAAAACACCCAATTTAAATGGAGCGCTTGGGTTCCTAAACCTGTATTCCCCGGGAAACCAGGAGGGGGATACATGTTATATACACCTGGAAAATCCAAAGGGGGACTGTACCGAACTTGCACACGAAAATCACTCACTACAAAAAGCAAAAGACTTGGCAGACGTGCACCCCCCCCAATGAAAAGCAGGGGTTCACTAGCACTTTAAGAGCCCTAAAATAATGTCAGGGGCCCGAGACTTTTAATCCCTCCCACACCTAAGGGGGTTTACCAACAGACCCCTGGAGTCTTCAAGCGGGCAGGGGACAAGCACCAAAAGTCATTTCCCGGATCACCGGGCTTGGCTCGACGTTGGTTTGCTGCACCACAGCAACAGCCGGGTTGTCAGGCTCTGATCCACCAGGAGGCCTGGTCACGACCGGGGGCGGGGGGGTTGACCCCCCAACCCCTTCCAGGGAAACTCCAGACCCTTTCCCCCCGGATGCAACTCACAGCAGTTGCCTAATACCCGGTAAGTAATTTATTCAGGTGTACAAAATACATTTTCACAGATAATCATGCATACAGCATATATGTAGAGAACCTAGGAAACCCAAAAAAGCAGACAAAGTGATTATTTCCATTGCTAGGCGACGGGACAGGGGTTTAAAGGAAACATTCCAGCTTTCCGTCCGTGCCCGGGCGTTTCAGATGCAAACCCAAGGAGCTATCACTAGTGCCATGAATTTCTACTGTCAAAAAATATGTATTTAGAGGGGGATTAAACAACAAATTTCCCTTGGGACCCAAAAAGGGCTTTATGGAAGGGTTTTATAATAACACTACACCATCACCCTCATTCTACCCCACACCTAATTCGCTACCATACCACATCACCGTGCACCTTTACCTCCCCCATTTTACCTTAAACCCCCACGAGGCAACTGTCAGGTGGCCACGGGGTGGCACCCAGTCCCTCAAATCTCAACATCCGTGCACACAATGGATGTCTAAGCTCCCAGAGAGCTCCAAGTGGGAACAACCAAGAGCTCCTCCCAGCAGACAAGAGCTGAGAGCTACCACGACTTCACCTCTACAGAGGACCTAAAATCTGCAATCAGATTAACGTCCACCAGGACGCTGACACACATCCCCACAGCAGCTCTCCCTCAGGCTGCTAGCAAATTCGCCGACCTTTTGAAGAAAGTCAACGATGCCCCTGCAAAACTATGCCCCTGCAAAACGATGCCCCTGCAAAACGTTGCCCCTGCAAACAGCAAATCCTGGCACAACCTACTGCTATTTGAATGGCTGTCTGGCTGTCCCACCAAGGAAGGACAAGCCACTAGCAACATCTGTTATTAGAGCAATAAATGCATTCCCTTGAGATGTTTATTAATTTCTAATATATATTCATTGTCTTCTATTTTTCGTTATATTCCAGCAGAATATATTTTTCGTTATATTCCAACAGAGTGAACTCTATTATAATTTAGTATTCTTCATATTTCTTTCATATCTTGATAATTCTTGTGATCTACTCATTCTATCTTTATCATCTTTTATTCAATATTTCATATAATTTGTTTTATGTGTTATTTTTGTATAATTTCTTATCTGCCACATTTGATTTTTTATATTCATGTAATATTATTGATAAGGTAACAGAAGGACCCATTGGAAATAAGTCACTCTGACTTTTTTTGGGTTATCCCAGGTTCTCTACACATATGCTGCTATGTATGATAATATTTGTAACTGTATTTGCATATACCTGGTTAAACTTACTAACTACCACCATCCTACCTCACCACCACCTACTGTCCTAACCACCACCCTCCCTCACCACCACCATTCTCCCTCACCAGTCATCACCACCTCCTTTCTAAACCACCACCTGGAGTTTACCTGGAGTTTACCTGGAGAGAGTTCCGGGGGTCAACGCCCCCGCGGCCCGGTCTGTGACCAGGCCTCCTGGTGGATCAGAGCCTGATCAACCAGGCTGTTGCTGCTGGCTGCACGCAAACCAACGTACGAGCCACAGCCCGGCTGATCAGGAACTGACTTTGGGTTTGCTTGTCCAGTGCCATTTTTAAAAGGACTGCCAGGGTCGGGTTGGTTTAACCCCCCTTTAAATTGTGCTGGGGGGAAAGTTGAACAGCCCTGGGGCACCTAAACACTTATTGTATGGCCCTTTTTAACGTGCTAGTGACACCCCCTCTTTTCAGGGGGGGGAGGGTGCAACGTCTGCCAATTTTTTTGTTTTCGTTGAGGATTTTCGTGTCAATTTGGGTACTAGTTCCTCAAAATTTTTTCCCAGGGGGTATAAAATCATGTATCTTTCCCCCTCCGGGCGTTCCAGGAAAATACGGGTTTAGGAACCTCAACGCCCCCAAGTAATTGAGGTTTTTTTTATCTCCGTTTCCCCAAACCGTAAAAAGTTCTCTGTACTTTTTCCCTAGGTCGGCAATTTAAAC